CCCTTTGTTGGTCATACTGGTTTAAAAAAATAACACATCTGGTGTTATTCCAATCTTTAAAATATAATATTAATATATATTTTGTTGGCGATCAACTGAACGAAAAAAAATTCGTCAAATGCAACGAATTTACTTGTAAAAAGTAAAATATCAATAATAAGAAATTAAATAATTTTATGACGTATTAAACTTTATTTTTGACATGTTACGTTGGTAACACATAAAAAGAAATCGGTCGATTCCTTGGTTGGAGATCCTCCTGCGCCCGCGCACTAATAATTCCTAATTTTGTTTTTATCCCTCCGATTGCTCAGCTGCAGTCCTAATATTATTTATAGGATTTTCTTTAAATTTCACATCTGTGTGGTTGCACGATCGCTTTAAAATGCCGAAAATTGGTTGACGAAGTTCGGCATAATATTCCGTGAGTATTATAATTGTCGTTTCTTTTAAAACTTTAATAATTCGAACGATAGGTACTTACCTACGTTGTTACGTGACACTCACATAATTACATCTTTTATTGCTAGGTATTTAATACTTGGTGGACTGTACCCCGCAGTGACCACCGACTGCGTTAAACTTAAAAACAGAGTAGGTACTATCCGGATGTGAGGCCCAAAAATATAGATATGTATTAGATATATTTAAATATTTTTAACTGGGTGATAGAAATAATTATATGGCCGCTTAGCGCCAAGTTTTTACTTGAAATGAGATATCGATTGCTAATAAATGTTTTTGGATTACTTTTATTTGGTAGTAAATTGTAATAATAAAATATATTTGATATTATGATATCAAATATATGATAATATATTTTCATAATATTATGAAATCAATGTTTAATAGCTACCTGTACCTAAGTAGGTATTCATATTTCATAAGCACGAATTTTACAATGATTAAGATCCCCCCTGATGGAGGAGGGAGCAATCCTTTAGTCCCTTACACACACACACATACACCCCAACCCGTGACTACATTATTAGTATAATAATAATTTATAGGTATACCATATAGTATATTCAATATTACTATATAATTTAACTTTCGTGTCAGTATGTCACAGTAAAACCTATTCAATAATAAGCTAGGACGAAATGTCAATTACACAATTTGTTGAACTGAAACAGTAAATTAAATATTTTTATAATTTCAGTTTACATAATAATTTATTTTTATTAATATAAAATAAGAACTAACGAATTGTGTGTATGACAATCACTAAATTTAAATTTAATTTGGTATTTTAGATTTAAGCATTTTTAAACGTACATTTACCCTCAATCCTGAGTCCAAACAAAATATAGATTGTTTATTACTGTACCTATACCTATACCTATACATTTCACAGTAATGCACATTAAACACAACTAGAATAGGTACTGAATTAAAATAAATACTCATAACAATTTATTATAAAGAAACAATATATTATTAGGATCAATAAGCAGTGAAATTATTTGACGTGTAGTTATTTGAAGTGTTTTTTTTTTTTGCAATATCTTTAAATTATACACACTGAAACATAATTTTTTTGTGGGGGCTAGTTTTTTGTTTAGGGTGACGAAGGGAGCTTTCATATAAAAAAATCTATATGTTTGATTCTCCATAAAAAAATATAGACCCATTTCAATAAATGATGAAACAAATTTTACAAATGTAGGTACGTACCTATTTATTAATTATTTAAAACAAAATTACGATCATTCGTATTATTTAGGTATCTAATTATGTCGTAAATATCGTACTATCTTAATATACGAGAGTATTAACTATTAACTTTGATTAATAATATTTAGTGATTTAGGTACCACTTACTGACTTAGTGCAATACCTCAGTAAATATATATAATAATTTTACATGTTTAAGTTTGTTTTATAATATTATGAAGTGTACCTAATATTTAAACCTCCGCCCACTTCAATCCCATTTAAATCTAGTGACGAGAACAACCAGTACTTGGTAATATAATACAATTAAACCTGGCTTCTGTGGCGTAGATATGATTTCTGAAAGGGGGGATCGAAAAAGAAATGTCATAGGTAAATGGGAGGGGAAAATTGGAAAATCCCCTACCCTTTCAAAACTTTTTACTTAGGTAGTAAAATATTTAACAATAAGGAACAATGAATATACTTTGAATTGATTCAAAATCCACATCAAACACAATATGGAAGATTATCCACTCCAAAGCCAATGGGAGGAGATCTGACCCCCATGTCCCCCCTTGTCTACGCCACTGCCTGGCTTAATAGTTTTAATTGGTTTTGTAATATTTGGACGGTTTTTAAGAGAAAGGGCTTGAGTCATTTTTGGACATTTTCAGTTTATACATTAATTCTGTGTGAAATTGCAAGCCGCGTTGAATGATACCACTGTAGATGCCATGTGGGATTTGGTTTACGAGATAAAATAGAATGCATGTGGTAATAAGTCATTATACAGATTTTTTTTTATGAGAAAAGGCCTAAGTCACTTATTATAACTTATTTTAATGACAAAGGGCATAAGTCTTATAAAATTACATGCAATAGGTCTTAAGTCATGATGCGAAAGGGCTCAAGTCAAACAGGTATATTATATGCAATAGGTCCTAAGTCATTATAATTTGAAGAAAAATAAATAAATACTAAAATATATTTAATAGTAAAATAACAAAACACATATGGTATATATATACACCTATATATTAAACATGATTATGAATAAAAAATGTAAAAACATTAAAAATTTACGAAGTTATAATGTTTTTTGTGTCTCCTGAAAAGTACCAATTTTTGACTTAAGCCCTTTTTCTTAAAAACCGCCCATTTCATATAATAGACAGTTGTCTAATAGTCGTATACTGTAACTAATTATATTTATATACATGTTCATATATATATGTCGGTGGGGAAAAGATGCAAAGGATATGTTTGACATTTGCCCGTAGGCAGGACTGCTGTAATTAAGACCCTATCGTATTGAAAAAGTAAAGTAAAAATTACAAATTATTCTCAACACAAAGCAGCATAATAGATTTAAATTCAGATTTTTAATTTTAAATATGCCTAAATAAGAATTGCCGTTTTTACTGTGAATTTTTTTTTTTTTTTGAAAATGTTGATATTTCTAAATCGAAATTTGAACGAGTAATTTCCAAATAAAATGTATAGAACTATTATTACACTTTTAACACATCCACGACTCTATTTTGTATCCTTCTGGTGAACCAAAAAATAAAATTAAAAACCCATATGATTTGTGTAGTTTTTAGGAAAAAATATCGTCAAGAATATTTCAAGATGGTGGGCCTCCTGAACTATTGAGCACCCATGCGTTTGTTGTCTTCATCTTACGGACGTACGACATAGCAAATTGTTGTTCACTAAAGTTTTAATTTTAAATTTTTGTGCTGTTAATTTTTATATCAGAGTGAATTTACCTATTATCAAACTTTTTGGTAAGAACATTATCTGTGCTTAAGCGTCGGTGATTTTTGATATTTTAATTTTCAAGCAAGATATGGGTATGTAAAATATTACAAATAAAAACGTTCATATCTCGCTTGAAAATTAGAATATCAAATAAAAAACCCCACACTTAGGTGCAGATAATGTTCTCACCTAAAACTTTGATAATAGGTCAATTCACTCTAATATCAAAATTATCAGCACACAATCGAAACTATAGTGAACGAAAATTTGCTATATGTCAAACGTTTGTAAGACAGATACAACAAATTCATAGTTAGCTTCCTCTTAACTTATAAGTTATAACTGATAACTTGCGGGTTTCTGAAATTAAAACAATTTAAGAAGGAATAGGTGACGGATTCCAGCATCCTACATGTATACTTCCGAGCTGAGGCATGACATTGCAGTGATGTTAGGACATGAGTACCTATTTGTAATTTACACTTACATGTAGGTATTTACGCACTATAAATTATAATACACTTATATTCAGTTTATTTTCTCGGTGATTTTCATCAATCTACGATAACTTGGTACCTCGATTCTCGGTGTAGACATGCAGTGTGTTTTACATATATTTGCATTATAGTGGTTATATATTTTATATTATTACTATATGGCTGGTGACATATTGCATAGAGAATAATATTATAAAAATATACACGAATTGATTTTACAAAATATTCAAAATATATTTTAAAATATGTAATAAAAGTTAAGAAATATTGCAAAAAACCATTTTAAATAACTATTTCAGAATAATATTTTTTAAATGACATCGCTATACAGGTATTGGATCCTTTTTTTTTAATTTCAACACCATCACCACAACTAAAGCTAAAAAATATGAAACCAGGGTTAAAAATTTTTACCTAACTGAAATCTAAGAATTTAAAAAAAAAATTCACTTACCCCAGACTAAAACAGAAAAAAAATCTAAATCGAACCTAAACATTTCAAAAACCATTCTCAAAACTGAAACTGTTAAAAATTGAAACGATTTCCAGCCCTGTGGAATATATATATCATATTCTTATATTGATTAAAAAAAACTAAATTTTAATTAATTATTTTTAAATAATTGTCTTAAACACTGCTATTTCATTGGAAATTGCATTGCACTTCAACAATTTACGATTCGTTTACGTTTTAATATTGATTATGGAATATTTATACGAGATTTTCACATTTGTGTACAATGAAAAAGATTTTATTTTATAATTTATTACTTTATTAGATTAGAAGTTACAAATGATTTAATATCTTGGATTAAGTCTTAAGATGTAGCTACGAGTCCAATAATATCTATAAAGCTATTGCCCTCTGATATTTAAAACAAAAGTTATAAACTTAAAAAATATTAATTAAATATACTTTATTAATAGGCAAACGCTGTAACTGCACGTCATGGTTCTGAACTGACACTGATATTATTGATATTAATAAATAATAATATATTTTGAAACTTTTTTAAAACTGTTATCATTGACCATCAACTTTAGGTTTTAGGAAAATTGAAGATAATAACATTGACAGACATGGCGACAGAGATAAGTCAAAGCAAAACAATCTGCATTTTGGCTGTTGTAGCAGGATGTTTCGCCATTCTATGGCCATCTTTATTTTATCCAATGCTAAAAGGATCATTTGCACCTCAGACTCACATAGGTGAGTTAATAATTTATTAAAATAATATTACCTATATGTAGTTTTGATATTATAATTTACGTTCATGGAGTAGGCTGTTGCAATGTGCTGTCCAGTACGGACGTGAATATAGTTAAAATAGTAATGGATATATGTGATCGTGTAATTAACACAACGGACAAAAAAACAAAATTGGAAAAATGTCGTCACGATATTTTCAACACATGTGCAATCAATATAACTGATTTATTCAATGAAAATAAGGTTGGCAAAATTTCGCACAATAAACATTTAATCGATGAAATAAGATCTTTGAATGGATCTCTATGTCTAAAATATCATTATGGAGTTTCCTTGACAAGTTTGGGGGTTACACATAGACTTAAAGAAAGCGATCCTTTAATGAGTAAGGAATTATCATTATTACTTTCACATTACAATTTAATCATAACTTGAGTGCATTTTTAAAAAGCTTATCAACTAATTAGTAATCATTACCTATTTAATATTCTGGCTATTAAATAAAGTATTTTCTTCGTCCACGGGTATGTATAATAATTAACAATTATACATACCTATCTTTGGCTCCGTCTTTCAAACGCAAAACATAAAAAAACTTTGTTCAGAATAATTCATTTAACTCTGTTATTTTTAATATTAGAGTGAATTTATTGATGTATTATCTATTTATCTATCATATTTAAAGGTAAGATTTAAGACTCCACGTAAAATGCTTTAAAATTGAAATATAAAAACCTACGTGAGGCCTTAGATATTGAGTTGGTAGGACGGAGACAACATGCGAGTACGAAGACTTTTAAAAAATAATATTTTGACACCACTAAAATAGTTTAACAATTGATTGAACATAATTTATATTTTTATTGTATTTTTATTGTACATTTAATATAGCTAGTCATGCATACAATAACTGTTTCAGAAAAATATTTTTATACCATTCTTATTAAACTCTTTAATTGTAAGTTTATTAACTATAGGGTTGACGGTATTGAAATCGGATACCGGTATTATATTCGTGGTATTGAAATAACTATAATGATGCCAGTGATGTGATATTACATCTGGTATACAGTGTACCAAAAAACCGGCAATGTGCCGATCTTTATAGTACCTACCTATACGGCGTATGGTATACTAAACGTCATACGATAATGGACGGTATATGTCGGACGTCGGTTCTTTGGTGTCACGGTATACCGTTCAAGTGAGAATTGAGCAATAACCGGTTTACCGATATAAGATGGTATATACCAAAAAACCCCGTAAACTCTATAGCTAATATTAACTATTAAAGGTTCTAATTTTTGTCTTTTGAACTTTGTCTTAAATAGATCAATTGCATAAATCTAGGTAAACCTACAAGGTTGTACTTACTAACCTTCTATGCAGAATCAAAATTATTTTGTATTTTAGACTGCAGTTAGTTGTAAAACTGTTTTCAGACTATAGAACTAATTTTATTTTGTAATTTATATCGTAAAACAACAATTATAGGCTATACAATTTAAAAATAAAAGAATTCATTCATAGTTAATTTTAATCTGCTCCTCTAGTCCTCTGTATAACTTTTTTCTTTTTTACTTACAAAATGTTATTAAATTAACATTAGTGAAGCGTTTAGCTAAAAATGTAAAAGAAACAATAGACAAGAAATAGTAATATAGTTTTATTATCATTTACCTATCATACTATATTAATTTTTCGTAACCACAACAGACATAATCTTAAATATATTTAAGCCGCTCAAAACCATAAATTTGTGTTTTTTTCTTAATCCACCTTGATTTTAACAAATTATAATACTAACAAAGTAATATATAATAATTTTAGTATTTGATCATAATTATAAGGATTTAATAAATAAATGAGGCCTAGCTTATAGTTACGCTTGTATAATAATTGTTATATTTTTCACATTAATAGATACGTAAAACTAGTTAATCAATATTTTTATTGTAATATATTCATATGTCTGAAGTAAAACTAAAATTATTATTTTCATTGATTTATATTTCAAAAATATGATTTGTGTACCTTTTTTTAGATAATATTCCGCAAGAAAGAACTCCTGTTCACTTAAGGGCCTCCAAAGCAACAATGCATCCAGCATTAATGGAAAAAGGACGAGCAATTCCCCAACCTCATATTGGACCTAGACATAGTAGTCCAACTCCTCACAGTTTCAAAGTAAACATTTTTGACACAGTATAGATGAACTTGACCATTTAAATTTCATCTTTAGTTTTAAATTTAACTTTAAAGAAACTCGCCAATTTTTTTTTTATTATTTGTTATTTTGGTTTTGGATTCAAGCCATGTGTTTATATATTTATGTTCTTGTTATCTAAATTTTTTTTTAATATTTAACAAAATGTTTTAAACTAAAATGTATATAAAAGTATAATTAATCTATTAATGCTATTTACAATTTTAATGTACTTAGTAATTTTAGAGTGATTATAATGTGGGCTTAGTTAAAGGGTTTTTGCAAAAATACATTTTTGGGGCGATAAAATTAAATAAAAAGTTAAAAGCAGCTTCACCATACCCTATTATAGGTTATAAAGCTCACATGTGCGTCTCATATAACGCCTAAAATCAAAATTATTTGAGTGCGAAATCATAGGCGCAAATAGGAGGGGGGCTAGGGGGCTTTAGCCCCCCTTGAAGTTTCTATAGCCCCCCAAAAAACTAATGATTTCACTACTATAATTTAAAAGCATCATAAGAGTTTCAAGTATAGACCTGAGCTTCAGCCCCCCCAAATTTCAAACACTATTTACGCCAATGTGCGAAATGCTGTAGGTAAATCTGACATAAATGAGTTCCGTATACTGACATGAGTTTAACACCAATAATAATTTTGAATTCATATTTTATTTTGTATTTAAGTCAATATTGGATCATTCGAGCCACATTTTTAATTTGTTAATTTATAAAAAAAAATCTCGTATAGGTACTTCTATAAAAATTTCAATGAAAAAAAAAATGTTTTTGATTCTGAATCGAAGGATTCTAAAAACATAATAATAAATTCAATTATGTGTTCAAAATTATTATCGGATTTTCAGCTCTACTTTGCTTCAAGAAACGGTAGTGTGGACTCCCCTTGATACTATTATGATGAAATTATTTATAACGAATTCTATAGCTCCTCCAAAAAGTTGTCCGTTCTAATGGCTGCTAATGCTATGTGAAAGCAAAATTTAACCCCATGTCCCCTTAACCCCTTATTACCTTAAATTAAAAATATATTCATATCTAGTAGTTAGTATAATTCGGTTCTGTGTAAACGTCTTTGTAATATTTCATATTTTGCGTTTGTTAGCCACCAATTCCAGGATCAAGACCGACAATGGGAGGTATGGGCGGCACCAGTAATAAAATCTCTGGAGGAGATGGTGGTGGTGCCATGAATATACTAATGCCAATGTATACAATTGGAATACTTCTTTTTTTTGTGTATACTATGATGAAGGTATAAAATCATGATATTATTCATGTATAGGTAATGTACATTGTACATATTATTTGTATACTAATGCCAGGTTGTACAATAATTTCGTTTAATTTCATGGTTCATTCAAATTTAATGGATAAACCAATGGTAATTTTAGTTCAAGAACCCGTAAAAACTAATTAACGTTTATGCAACCCGGCATTTATTTTTTATTTACTTATAAAATTAAAAATTTGTAATAGTTGTTGTCAAAAAAAGACGACGTTGAAGATACTATTGATGATAAATATTCTTCACATTATCCTTATGGCAGAGATAGTAAATCAAAGCTACAGCAGCAGAATCTTCCTACAAAATTAGGTGAAACACTAATAAATATTTTTAATATTTATAGACAATGAACTATTCTATTAATTTTTAAGCTTAAAAATATAGATATATAACGTTTTATTCTGTTTATTGCTGCATAGGATTCATTGAAAAGGATACGAGTAAGTTGAAAAGATTTTTTTTAAATATAACATTATATTCTTGTTATAAAATCTGTATTCTATACTATACTGTTAACTAATAATCATTAATTAATAACACAATTTGTTTTATAATATATTAAATTAAATTATAGACCATAGGTTTACTGGATTCAGTAATACCTATAGGAATACTACAATGATTCCTTGATTGTAGTTTATGTTTTGCGTAGGGGATTTAGAAATAGATGCGCTCCGTCGCAAGCTAGAAGAAACAGAGGCTGCGATGGAACGCATTGTTAAGCAAATGATATTGGCGTCTGAGTGCAATGGGATGGATGGGAATAAGGTTTGAAAGATTTACAAACATTTCGATGCGCATGTGTTCAGTAATATTATTGGCAATTTTGTTTTCTTACTACTACACTAATTTCACCTCTTAATTTATAATTTATGGAGTTGACCCACTTATATATGTATTTACGATTTTAGAATAATTTCGATTATTTTTTGCTAGTCGTACCCATATAGATGAATATTAAATTTAGAAATCAGAAGTTGGTTAAATAAATATTGATCGCTTAAATGTTACGCCCCACAATTTTATTGTTTATTTCTATGAATTAAATAGTACTATAGTAGGTAAAAACACGACATGGTAAAAGGATAAATATAATTAAATAAATAACTGTAACATATTATAGGTGTAGAATTATCTGGATTTTAAAAACAATAAACAAAATATTTATTTTTTTTTACCCTTAGTCGTGAACGCGTTTTCGTCTCTATTGGAAGACGTGAATCGAGAAATATTATCGTCTATAGTTGAAAAAGAAAACGTTCCCACAATAATTGAAAACGAGGTACCCTTAGGATAAAGAACTTAAGTTGCACTAATATTTATATATGCTTAAATTTTGCTTTTTAACATCCTAAATTGTATTTAAAAAGTAATTGTATTTCAAACTATTCAATCATCTATTATTTTTATTTTTAATCTTTTAATTCCTGTGCTATTAATTTTACATCGGTTCACAAGTTATATTTATTATTTATTGTGTATATATGCTCAGTTAAAATTTTCTTCGCTTTTATGTAATCAAAATTAATATTAAATTGCTTTTTTCCTAACAATTTATCAAGTTTCGATTATAAATTTAATTAAGACATATATTGTGTATTTTAGGAGTTTAAAAACGAAAATATTGATGAGGGGGAATGTCCGACAAATACGACGTTATCCAATGACAATGTAAATGATACGATTATCACTAAAAAGTCTACACCATCAGAGGAATCAAAAAGTATTAAATCTTTAAGCACTTCCGAACCATACGATGAAAATACTACAGATTCCGAAATTTCCGTAAAAAAAATAATTCAAGTGGTCAATATGGAAACATCTGAAAGTGTTGGTGGTGGTCATTGTTGGACTCCGACTGAAAAAGAGAAAATACCTTCTAAATGTAAAACAGCATCTATAGAAGAACCCATTTCTCTACTCATTCCTGGTATGATTCCTAAGAACTCTCAAGTTTTAATAAGCGATGGTCCACTCAATACTCCTTCAGAAACTGAGGATCATGAAGCAGTAATTTCAAGCAAAGTTACATTATCATTAATACCCGTGAGTAACATAATATGATTTCACATATTTTATTAAAATTAAGTAATAAATAATTTCATTGCGTACAGTTAATTTACTTTCTCGATTTGAAGGCAAGTTTTTTTTATCGGATGAAATAGTTGTTGATCAAATTAATACTATTCAGTATGGGCAATTTGTACATTGTATAATAACAAATAACTTATAATTAAAAAATTTCAAAAATTAGTTATCGATCAAATCGTTGGTAGAATGTTGGTATTACAGGTGCTATAGGTACATCATGATTCATGAGTTATGACATCAGGGTCGAAGACATCAATAATAAGCCTAACTAAAAATAAATATCATTATGTACAGGTATTAAAATTTGCATTTCCTGTTAAAATAACGAATAAGAATAACTATTTTGGTATATTATCTCGTTGACATCCAAAGACAATTTCTTTTGAATATTACCTATTTTAATGTACTTGCTGTTTATCGAGAGTGAATTATGTAAGATTATAATTTTGTTTTAATTTATTTTCTAGGACGACCGAGTAGAGGAATACCGAACTAGTGATGAAGCAGAAGATAATAATACTACTTCAACATTATCAAACTAATATGACGAAAAATGAAAACATAAATGTTTGATTTACCTATATTTAATAATTATATGTCGAGTAAATATATTTAATGTACATGCACGATTTTAAAATAGGTAATGTTTGGGGATTTGACGAGAGTAATAAATATGGGAATAGGAACGTATAATATTATGAAAGTTTTTAATTGCACATTTATAATGCACTTAAATATTTTGTGGTAGATTTTAATATTATAACTTTATGAATGAGCCATTTTAATGAACTTTTCAGTGTATGTTAACAAATATGTGATCAGTATTATTTTATGTACCTAGTTTGTCAATTTATAAGTACATTTTTTGTTACTTTTGAAGTACTTTAGACTGATAATGTTGCCAAATGTTTAGCAAATATTACTTGAATTTATTGTACTTTACCTGTAATAAATATCTGATGTGTCAAATCTAAAAATGGGTGTTCTTCTTTTTTAGTTTCTGTGCGGGACAACGAATGTGTTGTTTTTACAATGTGTGTTTTTTAGATTCTGAGTAAAACGATGAATGTATTGATTTTACAATGATATGTGTTTTTTATTTTTTATTTTTGTGTCTGTCATCACGGCTTAGGGCAGTAAAACTGCTTCGATTTTTTCAACAGTATCTTATTCGATTGGAAAGTGAATCTAGTTGGTGCATTCGGGAGGTCAAATTTTAAAATTTCCAATAGTTTTCACGACGGGAAAAACAACATGAAAATTAAGGACAAACGGGAATTTTCAAGCAAAATCGGTTTTCCACAAAATCGATTTTGGTTTTTGGTTTAACTCTAAAACAAATGAACGAATATTCATGAAATTTTCACTGGTAGTTCATATTTGCATTTTCTATACACGATAAAATTTTCAAAACATTTTGATTTGGTTTGAACTGTTTAGGAACATTTCCAATTTCCAATTTTATTAGTCTTCTTTTCTATGAATTGAATGTCAATAAAACTTTATTTGTTGGGTAAAAAAGTTTGAAAATTTAATACAAGGCTCCTACCATATTGTTGCAATAGCAGTTGAAAAATATTAAAAATCCTTAGTCACAATTTTTTTTATAAGCATTCAAAGTTCATTGACAAAATACGGAAAAATCACAAACATTAGCAATTTTTTTTTGAGTTGAGAATTCATAAAATTTTTCTTTTTAAATCTAAGATTTGAAAATGTAATACAAGATTACTCATAAGTTTGTCTACCTTTATCAATAATAAATTCTCTACCGGAAAGTCAAATTAAATTTTTATGAGCGTTTAAAGTTCATAATTTTACAATATTGGATATTCACTCGATTTCTCATGTAGTGGTTTTGTTATTTTATTGTTATTCAAAAACGAATAACTGTAGATACATGACAATTTTACTGAGTGTTTATATTTTCATTTTCCACACATCCTTAAAATTTGAAAATATTTTGACTCTTTTTGAGCTGTTTACAAGCATTGTCAGTTTTCAATTTTCTTAGTTTTTTTTTCTATAAATATCAATAAAATGTTATTTGTTGGGTACAAAAGCGTGAAAATGTAATGCAATTTTCTCCTGATATACTGAAATTATATCCTGATATATTGTTACAATAGCAGTTGAAAAATATTAAAAATACATAGGCACAATTTTTTTTTATAAGCATTTAAAGTTCGAATTTTGACAAAATTTATCATATTTAAAATTTAATTATTATTTTGTAGTTAAAAATTTATAAAATGTTGATTGAAAATTTAAAACAAGGGTCCACGTAAATAGGTAAATATATAAATTACTTTATTCACAATAATATCATCAAATATACTTAGTAATATCCTAGGCTGACTGACCGTTTTCGCTTAGAATCGTTTTTCTTATACAATGATATTATATCATTGAATTCAAATTTAATACCATCCATTATACAGTGACCCACTTGTAACCTACTGTACAGCAGAGCGACTTTTTGTTTGACTACAACTGTAGGACCAGTAAAAGTTGCTTTAAGTCAACTTTGAGGGTGGAAAATTTTATCTAGTTGGTACTTTTTTAAGGGAACGGGAGAGAGGGGTTGAAAACTTTTTTTAAAAGTAAGAAATTCTCAGGTTTTACAAAATGATCAAAAAACAAAAAATATATTAGTGAAAAGGGAAATTTTTATTCAGTACCAGATTTCAACTAAATGATTTTGTTTTAAGTTAAAAATGAATAACTGTAGAGACTTGAATTTTTCAACAAATATCGGTTTTAGACGTTTTAGTGATTATTTACAAAATATTTATATTATATTTAAGCTATTCCTACGATGAGACGTGGTATATAGGTACACCGTTCTATCATGGTAGGTTACTGAGTACCTAGGTACTGACTAATAAGTTTGTCAATACAGCTAATAATAATTAATATTATGCGATTTGTTTCTATTTTTGGTAAAATTAGTTAGGTACCTTACGTATTACCTACTTATAGCAATATACATTTATAATACAATATTCTTAGAGATATAGGAAGACCGTCTCCGATCAGAATTTTTTTCGTATGCAATTATTTTTAATTACAATAAAACACATTAATTTCAGTACAAAGAGACTTCTCCATTTTTTTTATTTTTCATATGTTTCTTATTTAATTCAAATAATATAATTATATACGGGTTTATAATAATATACCAAAACTTTTCTGTATATCATTTGATTTGTTAAATATAAACGTATTTGTTTAATTTGTGTAATATTATGTATACAGTACCTATACTGGATAAATAATGATTCGGCCTATCTATGTCACAATTCACAAGTTAGTATATTTAGCTAGTTCATAGTAATATACGATTTTAGTAGCTAGTAGGCAGTAGCTGTTACTGGTAAGATTCCAATATTGCGCATTAAATATAGACATATATAGTACCCAGTGTTGTATAGTATTTGAGTAAAAGTAATTGAGTAAAAGTATTCAAATACTTTTTTCGGTATTTAATACTTTTTTAAATACTTTTTATTTTGAAGTATTTGAATGGTATTTTAAATACTTTTTTTTACTATTTAATACTATTTTATTGAATACTTTTATTTAATTTTTTTTATTCTCTAGGAGACAGCTTATTGTCGACGATGATCGAAAAGATACATCTGTAGTCGGTATCACTATTAGCTTAAGTTAACAAAATATATATGTAAAAAGCTTCTACTTAACGGCTATTATATTTTATAGTTTATAATTATTTAACTATACGAAAATAATGTTAATAATTATTAGTACCTACTGGCTAGTGGCTACCTATTTATCAAGAAAATTTGTATCAATTATTATCATTATTGTTTATCGATGACGGTATGAGATATCCAAATACATAATATAGCTTTAAATTAATATAATAACTCTGTTGAGAAAAGTTCATTGTTGTAGTGCAACTAACATGACTAATCAGTTTTTTGAATACTTCTGAAAAGTATTTGAGTATTACTCAAATACTTTACTATTTATAGTATTTGGGTGGTATTTTAAATACTTTATTTTAAGAGTATTTGAGTAATTACTTAAATACTTTTAAAAAGTATTTTTTACAACACTGATAGTACCTATAGACTATAGAAACAAGTTATAAATCGTATGTCTATAGGTACAATATTTTCAAATTGTTAAATATAATTAAGTACATTCTATGTATGGATATACTTGCTTGTATACAATTAAAAATAATACATTCAATATTATATATTCAAAAATTGCTTAACACAAAACTGCATAGTATATACATAAACGTAATAAATAACAATAATATTATGAGAAAAAATATAAGTGAAGGCAATAAAAGATTATGTATATGGGTAATTAACATAATATTATATTATCATCAATATGCCTAGTCAATAGGTAGTAATTTTTAATAATCACTGTTTGGGTATCAACTACTACTTACCAGAATATAATGGAGCAGGAAATAAAATAATAATGTGGTCATCCATTATCAATATACCTTTCTTTGAAATTTAAACTAGTATCCAGTAAGTACACCAGGTAAAAAATACTTTTTATTAACTTTCACTATACATCATTATCTACTGTTAATTATTGAAGATAGTTCCTTCATCCTTGTTTGAATAGCAACCGTGGGTATGATATACGTATGCAATTACAAAGTTACAAATAATAGAATTCTATGACTTCCACATTGGAAAAGTAGGCACACCGACCTTCCTATATTACATATGAACACAGTTTACACGCATATATAGGTAGGTACCTAAATAGTAAGTACCATATTTTCGGTAGCGATATTTCGGTACGGATTTTCGTATTTTTGTCCATTGTCACATTAATATTTTCAAAAACCGTTGAAAATTATTGTCTATAGCACTGTCGTTTTCGCGAAATCACGGTAGCGAAAAAAGAAAAAAAGGAAAGCGCAGAACATAATAACACGATAACTGGATAACGTTTATAACGATTGGCGTAGAGGTGGAAAGTTGTTGTCACGGGAGACCGCACGATAATGAGCAAGAAAGCGTTTCAGACCTCAGACGTCCTCAGTACGTATTGTATCGCCGCGGCAGTGTGTTCACACGTGCGTGAACTGCAGTTTCAGTACCCGTCAGGCAGGTGCAGTAGTGGTGTGCTGTACCTACCGTGAAAATAAACGGTCATTTCTATCAGAAAATCCAAACCGAAGTTTCCGTAAAAATTATTACACCACTTATAAACAAAATAAAGTAGGTAAGTGATCCAAATTTTGTTTTAAATAGGTAGGTAGTTTTTCGTCGTAGTTACCTACCATTTTTTGAAAACTATATTGAAGAGTCGAAGGGAAAATTGCTATACACTATAAAGAGTCACGCGTGTAAAAAGTTTACAAGTAAACATTTGCTTATATTAAATCACATGCAGTAGGTAGAAAAAAGTGCAATTTGTTGTTGTTGTGCCTATATTTTATAATATTACATTATGCAAGGTTGAATCACACGTTTTCAAGCTTCTCGTGATTATTGAATATCAGTATACTTAAAATTTACCTATACGAAATGTCTAAACT